GGGGTAGCGACGGCGCAGGGTGACCACCGGCTGGACCACCAGCTGGCCCAGCCCAAGGGAGGTAAGGCACCCACCAGGTCCCACGCGCGCCAGCAACCCTCCCTGCACCCGCCGGCCTCCCACCTCCCACCCCTGGCCCTCTTTTACTTACATTTTTAGTAGTTGCTCAGCAGGGAAGGGTGGAAGCTTCCAGACAGCTCGCCTTCACTGCAGACAACTTGCAGCACCGTTTGCAGACTGGGGCTTTTGGCGAGCTCAGCAGGGCAGAGACAGCCTGGACAATTCCTACTGGCTTTTGAAAGCCAATAGAATTAGACTCTATTCAAGAGAGTCTATTCTATTGACTTTCAAAAGCCAATAGAATAAAAGGGAGTAGCACAGCTAAGGAAAAGGAGAAAAAATGGCAGACTGCATTGTTTGGCGACCCCCGTGAAATGGTCGTTCGACCCCAAATGGGGTCGCGACCCACAGGTTGAGAACCGCTATGCTAGATTCTTCTCCATTTGGCTATGTTCATGTAGAAGCTAAAGGACCATCTGTCTGAAGTGGTTTAATTTGGTTTACAATGAACAGGAGGTTGGACTTGATGCCTCAATGGCCATTTTGAACTCTGTTATACAGTAACTGCAAGTCTATTTTTTAATCAAAATAATGATAAGATCGCATATACAAAGAGTTGAGTGATATGAGATTAGATTGATAGAGAGTAATCCAAAACATTTTTTTTAATTTGAAGCATTTTACTATTTCACATCACATCGTTGTTTACTGTTATGAAAAAAGATCCAATGAACCTGAAGTGTATGTGCTTTACAAACATCACTAAGAGGAAGAGTTCAGATACATTAATTTCTGTTTTAGATTATCCTAATAGTTAGTCAGTGTAGTTAGCTGAAAGCAATATCTTCATCAGCTGTGATTTGCTTATTTCAGCAATTTGTAAGATAATTAAAATTTGTCCTGGTTCATTTCTGATAAAAATCTTCAATTCACCTAAAATGAAAGCAAAAGATTTCATTGAAGGATGAAATTGTCATTACTGATTAGCCAAACCCAAATATTGTGTATAGTTCTGGGCGCCACGTTTTAGAAAGGACACTTACAATTTGGAGCATGTTCAGAGGAGTATAATCAAAATAAAAAACAAATCAAAATAATTAGAAGACCTCCAAGGTTCCTTCCAACCCTATTATTCTATGTTCTAAGCCTGGAAGAAAATACTTATGAGGAATAGTTAGAGGCATTAGGTATGTCTGAAGAAGAGAAAGGGAGAGATGATAACTGTCTTCACATATCCAAAGGGTGGGTCATGTAGAATACAAAGCAGAATTGGTCCAGAAGACAGAACAGGAAAATAAGTTTAAATAACAAAGAAATACATTTTGGTTGGTATCACGAAAAAAATCTTAATGGTAACAGGTAATGAACAACGAAACAGATTATTTAGGAGGCGTAGTGCAGGGCTTCTCAACTGGTGATATGCGTACCACCTGTGGTACTTTGGGATGTGACAGATATAGTAATAAGTACCTGGCTTTTGTTTGTATTTCCATGTTGTTCGAAATGTTTTTAAATATTTTCACTAATCTTACTGATGTCATATGCCATCGATAAAACATTTTATACAAATTTTCTTTGTATGAAGCTGCTTTAGTCAGTTTAATGTGTCTATCCCATAACTTTTGCCAATCTTCTAAGTCTACAGAATATCCAAAGTTTTTTGCCCATATTATCATCATCTCTTTTACTTGTTCTTCTTCCATCTTCAAATGTATAAGAAATCTATAAAGTTTCTTAATCAAGTTTTCATCTGTTTTTAAAAGTATTTGATCAAATTCTATCTGTTCTTTATAAAATCCCATTGACTTTACATCTTTTTTGTATCTTGTTTGAATTTGCAAATAAGACCACCATGCTAAGTCAATATCTTGTTGTTGTAAGTCTTGCCTATCTTTCAGTTTTCCGTCCTTGTCCAAAATATCTTTGTAGGTAATGATTTTATCATAGTTAATTAAATTTGGGTAAGCAAAAGTTTCTATTGTTGAAAGCCACTCAGGTAGTTTAATATAATTTTTTTGTTTTATTCTTTCCCATTCTAGAAACAGTACATTCATCATAGCATGGTTTTGGAAATACCTGTGTGTTTTATTTTTCTCGTACCATTGGAAGGCATGCCAACTCATTTGTAGGTCATCCCCTCTAGGTACAATAATCTTTTATTTCTCAGTGTTATCCATGGTAAAATAGCTGCTTGGTAATATAGTCTCCAGTCCGGGAGTCCAAATCCTCCACTGTCTTTAGCTTCTTGTAACATTTTCGCTTTAATTCGTGCTTTCTTCCCTTGCCAAATAAATTTCAATATTGTTGCATTTAGGTCATTGAAAAAAATCTTTCCCAGTTTTACAGGAATCGTTTGGAATAAGAAGAGTAATTTCATCAGGACACTTATTTTCACTGTGGCTATTCTTCCTAGCAGTGACTGTTAAAGATTTTTCCACTTTTCCAAATCTAGTTTTATTTGTTTCAACAGTCTTTCATAGTTGTCTTCTTTTAATGTTGTACATCTTGCTATTAAGTAAATTCCTAAATATTTAACTTTTTTGACTATTTGCAGTTTTGTCTTTTTTTTGTAAATTTTCTGTTTGTCTGTTAGGTATTTTGTTAATACCTTAGTCTTTTCTCTATTTATTTTCAAACCAGCCACTTCTCCAAACTTTCTTTATACTTTTTGACAGTATAGGTTATGGCCAACCCTCTGAAATATGCTTTAGCCGTGTCCCATACATTTTGAAGGGATGTTTCTTCTTTCCTATTTATTTTTTAAAAAATCCATTTCCTTTATTGATAGTTGTAAAAATTCTTTTTCTTTCAGCATGGATTTATTCAGAGACCATCTTAATTGTTTCTTAGTTCCTTTCCAAGTCATTTTTATTGGGTTGTGGTCTGCCCAAACATTAGTTTCTATAGCAACCTCTTGTATTATCATTTTCAAATCGTAAGATGTCCATATCATATTGAGTCTAGACCATGATTTGTGTCTATTTGAGTAAAATGTATATTGTGATTTTTCTGGATTTCTCTCTTTCCATATATCTTGAATACACAATTCTTCTTTCATTTAAAAAAAAAGGCTTTGGGTAAAGTATTTCCTCCTTTTCTCCCTTGTTTATGGCTTTTGTAGTCCAGAGTTGCATCTGCTATTGCATTAAAATCTCCCTATATGCAAAGATTTTGGTAGTTTAATTCCACTATTTTCTTATGTAATTGTTGATAAAATTGCTCTTGCTTATATTAGGTGCATATATTGCTACCATCAATATCTGTTTTGGATCCACAATAATTTCACCATTAATATTCTTCCCTCTTTGTCTTTATAAACTTGTTTGGCATTCATCTTTTCTTTTATATAAAGGGCTATGCCTCTTTTCTTTTGAGATGCAAGTGTAAAGTAAAGTTTGCCCATTTCTGGATCATGGATTGAACTAGTAATTTCCAATGTTCTTTTAACCTGTACATCCTATGATTCTATGAGAAACAGAGGAAAGTTGAGTCATGTGCTAAATAGAACAGTCATATATATATTGATAAAATAATTATATATACAAAATAAAAGCTTAGAAACCCAAAGCTATCTGAAGGTTATTCTTCTAACAGGATTAAGCCAATATCTTTGAACTGAGTCTGAACATGGAAAAATTTGCACATCATATTAAGCTATATATAATTGTTTGTTTATTCAACAAGTTACCATGCTCTGGTTCATACATAATTTTATGATGTAACCTATAGATTATGAATTCTAATTATTTACATATCATGCTAATCTAAAACCAAACTAAGTTCATCATGACAATGATGACAATCCTGTGAACTCAGACTAATCTGTTCCTCAGAATGGTTGTGGCAGTCATGGGGTATATGATATGAACATATCAGTAATAATATTGTTGGTAAAACTGTACAGAACAGTTATGCTCTACCAAGTGTTCTACAAAGGAAGATTAAATGTGTAATAAATAAATAATAATTAGCTTAGCAACATGAAGCAAAAAATTATTAAAAGTGAAATTGAGGGCCCAATACAAACAGTGACAGTTTAATGTAAAAGTATTGCCCTTTGAACAAGAATTTAGACATCATATACCCGAGTAGCATAATTTGCATACAGATACTATCTGGTTAAGTTAAATTCATTATTAAGCAAATATAACATGTTGTTGTTGTTAATTGCGAAGTTGTGTCCGACCCATCGCGACCCCATGGACAACGTTCCTCCAGGTCTTCCTGTCCTCTACCATCTTCTGGAGTCCATTTAAGTTCACACCTACTGCCTCAGTGACTCCATCCAGCCATCTCATTCTCTGTCGTCCCCTTCTTCTATTGCCCTCAATCTTTCCCAGCATTAGGCCCTTCTCCAGTGAGTCCTTCCTTCTCATTAGGTGGCCAAAGTATTTGAGTTTCAACTTCAGGATCTGGCCTTCTAAAGAGCAGTCGGGGTTGATCTCTTCTAGGACTGACCGGTTTGAACGCCTTGCAGTCCAAGGGACTCGCAGGAGTCTTCTCCAGCACCATAGTTCAAAGGCCTCAATTCTTTTGCGCTCAGCCTTTCTTATGGTCCAACTTTCACAGCCATACATTGCAACTGGGAAAACCATGGCCTGGACTATACGCACTTTTGTTGGCAGGGTGATGTCTCTGCTTTTTAGTATGCTGTCTAGATTTGCCATAGCTTTCCTCCCCAGGAGCAAGCGTCTTTTAATTTCTTGGCTGCAGTCCCCATCTGAGGTGATCTTGGAGCCCAGAAAAATAAAATCTGTCACTACCTCCATTTCTTCCCCATCTATTTGCCAGGAATTGAGAGGGCCGGATGCCATGATTTTGGTTTTCTTAATGTTGAGTTTCAAGCCACTTTTGCACTCTCCTTCTTCACCCGCATCAAGAGGCTCTTTAGTTCCTCTTCACTTTCTGCCATTAGTGTGGTATCATCTGCGTATCTTAGGTTGTTGATATTTCTCCCGGCAATCTTAATTCCAACTTTTGATTCATCTAGCCCTGCCTTTCTAATAAAATATAACATAGGCAAATACAAGTAAGGCTGCGTATATTATCTAAACATATTATTCTGTCACTTGGAGCTGGAGTTTTTATGACTGAAAGTAGCTAATGGTTTATATAATTCAATTTATTATTCTGTAAAAGTAGGATCCATAGTATGGTACTGACAACTGTGAATTAATCACACTTACATTTGTCTCTTTTTGTTGTACGGAAGGTTCTGTTCTTTTGGCTTTTTTCCCCAATGACATTCAAATGCTGCTTGGAAACATTTAAAGAAAAAATTGTGAACTTTTGAGGAAAATGTTTTTTTCTGCTTGAAATATAAAAAATGCTGTGCTTCAGGAATTAGATGGCCTAGTCTCTGGTATTTGAACATAGATCTTTTTAACATTGATATTTTATTTTATTCTAGATGAAATGTTAATATATATTGTTAGTCCATGTATGATATGCCATATGCTAAAAAAATCTGCTTGAAATATAGATTGGGGGGAAATGTCACACCGTACAAGATGTCTGTAGCTGTTTCCCAAATAAGCATTGTACATATCATATGTTACTTGAACCTTTCTCTCCCCCCCCCCATCTTTTCATTCTTCTCTCTCTCTCTCTCTCTCTCTCTCTCCTCTTTTTGCTCTCTGTATGCAGCAAAGCGCATAGCATGGAAACTAAATCGTGTTGGCAGCCTGCGAAATATATACAGCAGCAGCACCAACACTGAAGGTAAAAAAACTTAAAACATAAAGTTTTAAGGCAATTGCTCCCTCTCCAAGCTGTATCTTCATGCCTTTGCCTTTTTCCTTTCCCTGATTATAGGGACAAAAATAAAATTTGCCCAAAGCATGTGTGCTCTGATGTTGTGTTTGCAGACTCATTTCTTTTCATCTTTCTATTGGTGTGTTTTATTTTGCCATTCATGTTCCTTTCAGTTTACTTAAATTTTGACCTTTCCTTCTAGTCGTGAAGTAGTAATGTTTAAATTACTTCAAGAAACCATTTTTTTTCATTTTTTCATTTTCCCTTTATATGTAGGCATTCAGTGTAATATTTTCCAAGTTATTACAGTTTTTAAAGTGTTGGTATCAAGTGTAATGATCTGTAGCCAAATACAATAGTGTGCTGTGACATTTAAGTAACAGTCTTAATTTGTTTTGGGAAAGCATTCTCCATAATGTTTTCTGAGGCTCTAATCCAAAAGCGAGACAAAGCTAAGCCATTTGCATGTGCTACTCTTGCTTGTAAATTCTGTATGTTGTTGTATTTCAAAAGGTCACTTTGTGGCAAAGTTCACAAATTGACTTATATTGCTGTTTCCAGTGAAGACAGCCATCATGGCTTTTGTATAATAGCAGGCTGAATTTCTTTCCTTCACCTTCATTTGAACAATGCTATTATAAACTGCTTTCTTTTTGTTTTTTTCACAAATGTCGAAGATCAAAATTACTTAGAAACCAAGAAAGGAGAGAAAGATCTTCAGCCACCATCTCTGCGAGTGTATAAATGACAATGATATATAAGGACTTAAATGCAAAATAGATCACAATTCAATAATCTCACAATGTAGACATAGTTTTAAACTTAAGTGCAAACATAATAGGTCAAGTAATAACAAATACTTTCCCTTACACTAATTGATTTTGGAATTATTGTAACTATATTTTTCTTAATGTCACCATTTTCTGAATGATTGGCTTTAGTGATAAAGAAGACAGCATTAAATTTTCTGTAAATGTTAAATTAAAAGCTATTTCTCCAAAGAAATATCTACAAATACATCCTGATCATTAACCTAATAATTATCAGGGGACAGGAGGCTAAAACATATAAAGAACGGTTGCTGGAATTGGGTATGTCCAGTTTAATGAAAAGAAGGACTAGGGGTGACATGACAGCAGTGTTCCAATATCTCAGGGGCAGCCACAAAGAAGAAGAAGTCAAGCTATTCTCCAAAGCACCTAAAGGCAGGACAAGAAGCAATAGATGGAAATTAATCAAGGAGAGAAGCAACCTAGAACTAAGGAGAAATTTCCTGACAGTTAGAACAATTAATCAGTGGAACAACTTGCCACCAGAAGTTGTAAATGCTCCAGCACTGGAAATTTTTAAGAAGAAATTGGACAACCATTTGTCTGAAATGGTATAGAATTTCCTGCCTAAGCAGGGGATTGAAGACCTCCAAGATCCCTTCCAACTCTGTTATTCTATTCTAGCTGGTGGAAATAATTCTTTGTGATGACATATAACCTTTGGTTATTTATATTCCATTGTTTTTTTTGCACAGAAATCAAGGACAATAAAGAAAGTTTCTTTCAACATATTAATAACAAGAAAAAAGCCAAGGAAACTGTAGGTCCACTAAAAAGAGAAGATGGCAAGGAAGTAACAGGCAGTAGGGAGAAAGCAGAGCTGCTTAAATCATTCTTTGCATCAGTCTTCACACAAAAATAAATTATAGCCCAACATACAAAAAAAAAACCCTACTGCAAAAGACAAACTAGAAACAAAAATTAAAATAAGCAAGAAAATGGTAAGAGAACACCTATCCGACCTTGACGAATATAAATCACTGGGACCTGACAGACTACATCCCAGAGTTCTGAAGGAACTGGCAGATGTTATCTCAGAACCATTGCACCATATCTTTCAAAAATCCTGGAACACCAGGGAAGTACCTGATGATTGGAAAGGCTGATGTGGTTGCCATCTTCAAGAAAGGGAAAAAATCAGTCCCAGGAAACTACAGACCAGTTTAACATCAATATTTGGGAAGATCCTGGAAAAAATAATCAAAAAACAGATCTGTGAATAACTAGAAGCCAACAAAGTTATAACCAGTAGCCAGCACAGTTTGTCAAAAACAGATCATGCCAAACCAATCTTATTTCATTCTTTGATAAAGTGACTAAATTAGTAGAGCAGCAAAATGCTGTGGACATAGTATACTTAGCTTTCAGTAAGGAATTTGACAAACTAGACCACAATCTGCTGCTTAGTAAGCTAGAAAAAGGTGAGATAGACAACACCATCAGATGGATCTGCAGCTGGCTGACAAACCGTACTCAGCGAGTAGTCCTCAATGGTACTACATCCACATGAAGAGAAGTAAGCAGTGGGGTACCACAAGGCTTCATATATTGGAGATTAACAGAAAACTGTTTATCTTGGCAAAGTATGTATTTGAATGCATATGCTTAGCCACTGCATATGTCTAGCTTGTGTTAATGTTCTGCTTCCATCTGTATTAGAAAATAGAATAATGTTCCTGTCTCAGAACAGATATGTTCATATGTTGTTCAAGAATCTAAATCTATAATTCATCAATTTCTCTGTTACTCTTATATCAGTTTCCATCCTCTGACCTTATAACTCCTCTTATAACTAATAGAATAAAATAGAGCTGGAAGGGACCTTGGAGGGCTTCTAGTCCAGCCCCCTGCTCAAGCAGGAGAACCTATCCACTATCCACACACTATCCACTATTATATTTTACGGGCAGTGCTCTTATATCACTAACACAATTTCTGTTGACGCTGTATTGTATCACAAATATTAGAATGAAGCTAATCTATATCGATTGTCAGAATCCAATTATACTTCATCTCCAATTATTAATTATAGAAAACCCCATTTCTGCCCTCTCTGGATTCTGTCATAAAGAAAGAGAGGGGGGTGAACAAAGGGGCTTTATGGCCCTCACTTCCTTTGGTACAACGTCAAAGGGTTTGAATGTGGTTAGCACCAAAAGGTCTTATCATAACAAAGGAGGCTATTTACCTTTCATGTAGTTTATCTGAAGTCTCCATCCAGATGGAAGAAAGGAAAAAAGGGGTGGGATTGTGATGCCTGAAACTGTCACTGGAAGAGGGGGGTGATTGGGTGGGACTACTGGGGAACCCCTTAAAACCTCGAATGGGAGAGCTTGAACCCCAAGTCCTGTCTAGCACGCCTGTAACCACTTTTTCTTAATAAAGGATTCCTGTTGGAAGAATTATTCCAAGAGTTCTGTCTTCTTAAGATGTAAAGTGGGGTGGGTCCTTACATTGATGTTTGATCTTATTATGTCAAATGCCTTAATTTTACTTTTTATTATTCGATATTTCTATTTAATTTGATATGTGATCAGAATAATTATACTATTGGAATGTTTCATTTGTAAATATTTTGCAATCTTATTTCTTTCTGACCGAGTTTTTAAATTTATTTATATATTGATCAGATATGCTTATTTTCCACCAAAACATACTATTCTAAAAATAAACTCAATACTCAGAGTTACAATGGTTAAGACAAGCAACTATATATGTTTGATTATAAATAAATCTGGTCCAATCGATATACCAGGGATGGCGAACCTATGGCATGGGTGCCAGAGGCGGCACTCAGAGCCCTCTCTGTGGGCACGTGTGCCGTCGCCCCAGTCCTAGGTCTTCAGCTGGGTTTTATAAAACCTTTTCACTTTAGGCCTCCGCCGCCGTGTGCAAAAAAAAAAAAAAGGTTCAATCAGTCAATTTCAACTTCTTGCGGGAAAAAAAAGATCTTGCAAAGTTGGAATTGATTGATTGAACTTTTTAGTCCCATCCAGTCTGCTGTTACCACTGCAGCCATGCCCACCCAATGGGCCACGCCCACCCAATGAGCCATGCCCACCCAATGGGCCATGCCCACCCAATGGGCCATGCCCACCCAATGGGCCATACCCACCGGCACTTGATGATGCATAAGTGGGTTTTGGGTTGCAGTTTGGGCACTCGGTTTGCCATCACTGCCATATACGGTGTTAATACATGTGATAGTATTGTTATTATACTTGCAACATATTCAAATCACAAAAAAATCATAAAAACTGTTTTTAAAATAATTATAGGTAAAGTATATGAATTTAGGTGGAAAAAATAAATTTGTTTTGGTAAGATAGAATTGCAGCCATTAAAATGAATATTTAACATTTTATTTTCTTTTTTAAATGATTGTGATAGTTACTCAAAAATGGTACTGATTGAAATAAATAAGTGATGAACAACATGTGTCCCAATAAATATATATTTAACACACACATAATTGATAGTTTAGAAGTTTATATTTTTGGAAAGCTGTTATTTTTATTCTTTTAACTGTAGAATTATTTGTTCTTGAACACTCTTTATAAGCTGTACAAATGTCATACATTTTTACTCCTAAAATATTACATGAACTTCATTTAAAAGTTGTATTTATCCATGACTATAATCTGTAGTCTTGTAAGAAGCAATATTAACACTGATAATAACAATATGAATAATATATATTCTTCTGAAAAAGAGGCCAGCACAGTCATTACAACACAGTGACTTTGTCTTTGGACAGACTCTTGTTTTCAAGCAGTAGCAGGAAAAAATATGAAAGAATGGAAAAAGCTGCCATTGCCTTAGCTTGTTGAGACCCACTCCTCTTCCTAGAAAATAAACAAATTGCCTTATGATTATGGACAACATAGACCAAAAGATAAGTATTTTCTAAAAATTAAGAAATAACAAGTACTCCTTTTTGATAGTATGAAAAACTCACCAAAGCTTTTTCTGCCAATAGTCTTTATATGTCCTTGAAGATTTAATGGTTCCTCATTAAAATAAACCCAACCCCTCCCTTTTTAGTGAATTGAATAAAGCATTATTATAACCAAAAATCAGTGAAGAAAGGACAACAAAGGGAAAAATACAAAAAGACAGTAATTAACATAGGAGAAA